GGCCGGACATAGCGGAAGTCATTGCGATTCACGGGTTGTCCACCTTCGAGTCGGTAGTCGCAGCAGCAGAACGCGTCGACGCAGTACGAAGCCGACGGGGTCGTGACGATCGCGATAGGGGATACAACAGACCGATCAACGACGCTCGATCGAGGGACGGACCATCGCCCATGGAGATTGGTGCAGTTAACAGTGACGGCTCACAGAAAATGGGATTTAGGGGGAACTGTCACTACTGCAAAAATCCGGGACACATGAAGCGAGACTGCCCACAGCTTAAGGAGCGGCAGCAGGGAAACGGAAACCGCCAGTAGATAGCGGGTCGCTAGCTGGTGTGGAGGTTCCCATACCCGCCACGTCTACCAACGTAGAGGAGACGGCTTTGCAGCAGTCATCTACGGAGAATGAGGTAGACACTGTTGATCGTCCAGTCGTGCTTCTAGGGAAGCTTCGCGGAGTTCCTGTTAAGATTCTCGTAGATAGCGGAGCTAGCCACTCGTTCGTCTCTTCATCGTTAGTTTCTCGTCTCCATCTCAAAGCAGATTCAGCAGTCAACTTCAAGGACGCTCGCATGGTAGATGGGACGCCACTTCACATAGGACCGATCATCCGCAAGTTGCGCGTAGTGCTAGGACCGATCACAGTCAGGCGTGATTTCGACTCTGCGACGCTGGACGGATACGATTTTATCTTCGGGAGAGATTGGCTACGGACGGTTAGTACTCAGTTCGATTGGGCTCAGGGAAGCTGCAGCGTCAAGGTAGACGGGGAGTTCCGGAAGTTGCCACAGTGGAGCGATGGGGCCACATCATCCACAGCTATCATTAATGCTGTTCGTGTGCGACAGTTAGTGAAGCGTGCGGCACGGACCTTCGCGGTTTTTCTTGAGGAGGTGGAAGCTGAGGAGGGGAAAGGAGGGAGTGCAGCAGTTAGTGAGAAGGCGACTCTTCCTGCTGAGGTGAGTGCACTGTTAGTAGAGTTCGCAGACGTCTTCCCCGACGAGTTGCCCCCAGGGTTGCCTCCCAGCCGAGCAGTAGACCATCGAATAGAATTGGAGCCGGGGAGCAGGCCAGTAGCGAAGCCGCAGTGGAGGTTGAGTCCAGCGGAGACAGAGGAGATGACGCAGCAAGTTAGGCACTTTCTCGCACAGGGTTTCATACAGCCATCTAGATCGCCTTGGGCCGCACCGATACTTTTCGCACCCAAGAAAGACGGAGGGTTACGGATGTGCATAGATTACCGCGCACTGAACGCCGCCACCGTGAAGAATAGATTCCCGGTGCCGAGAGTAGAGGATCTTCTCGATGCAGTGCAGGGCGCTAGAGTCTTCTCAAAGATCGACCTTCGTTCGGGTTACCACCAGATTCGAGTAGTTCCAGAGGACCAGCACAAGACGGCGTTTCGTACGAAGCACGGGTTGTACGAGTTTAGGGTTCTACCGTTCGGATTGACCAACGCCCCAGCGACGTTTCAGACGCTCATGAACACAGTCCTCTCCGAGTTCCTAGGGTCGTTCGTTGTCGTTTACCTGGACGACATCCTAGTGTTCTCTAAGACAAAAGATGAGCACGTGCAGCACTTGCAGGAGGTCTTCGAGGTCTTACGGAGGGAGCAGTTATACGCTAAGCAGTCGAAGTGCGAGTTCTTCCTTCCAGAGGTCGAGTTCCTAGGACACGTCGTATCCGCTAGTGGTATTAGGACCGACCCGAAGAAGATCGCAGCAGTACAGGATTGGGTAGCACCGACCTCAGTCAAGGAGTTGCAGAGCTTCCTCGGTTTCGCGAACTACTACCGTCGTTTCGTTCAGGGTTACGCATCGATCGCTAGTCCACTCACCGACCTACTTCGGAAGGGCGTAGAGTACGTTTGGGGTCCAGCGCAGCAGCAGGCGTTCGAGCAGATGAAGCAGTCGCTCACGTCTTCACCGACACTGTCGTACTCTGATCCCACTCGCCCATACGTTGTAGTGACCGACGCTTCCGATCAGGCCATAGGAGCAGTGCTTCTTCAGGACCAGGGACGCGGGTTGCAGCCGATCGCGTACGAGTCGCGTAAGCTTAGGGGAGCGGAGTTGAACTATCCCATACACGACAAGGAGGCGCTCGCGATCATCCATGCGTATAAGGTGTGGAGGTGCTACCTAGAGGGGGCAGATAGTGTTATACGCACGGACCACTGTTCGCTTCGTTTCCTCAAGTCGCAGCCGCAGCTGAGTCGTCGCCAGGCTAGGTGGATGGAGTTCATGGAAGGGAGCTTTCACTACAGGATAGAGTACAAGCCAGGCGTGCGCAACCCAGCAGATCCGCTCACTCGCCCTAGTTGTCAGCTCGCCAGTCTCACAGTCACTGCTGGCCACCCACTTCTCACAGCACTCTTCGAGCACGGTTACACAGTAGATCCCGACTTCACACCGCAGCCGCCCGCAGGAGCAGAGGTGCAGGGTAGTGTCTACATACGGAAGGGTACCACACGGATTTGGGTTCCAGCCTACCGCCCTCTTCGACAGCTCCTTCTCTCAGAGGCGCACGACGTAGTTAGTGCAGGGCACTTCGGAGCAGATAAGACGGCTAAGACGCTTAGTCGCACGTACTACTGGCCCGGGCTTGCAGCAGACGTAGAGGATTACATTCGCTCGTGCGACACGTGTCAACGTACGAAGTCCTCTCGCCAGCGCAAAACAGGACTCTTGCAGCCGATTCCACCGCCCGACCGCCCTTGGCAGGTAGTTACCATGGACTTCATCATGGCTTTACCGCGCACAGTTAGGGGTCACGACGCCATCTTCGTAGTAGTGGATAAGTTTTCTCGAGCAGCGCATTTCATCCCCACGCACGGCAAGGTCACAGCAGAGGAAGCCGCGACGCTGTTCGTAGATAACGTAGTCCGACTGCACGGGGTTCCAGATTCCATCATCTCAGACCGCGACCCTCGTTTCACTTCGAAGTTCTGGAAGCAGCTTTTCGCACTGTTTGGGACTCGCTTAGCCATGTCGTCTGCGTACCACCCAGAGACAGACGGACAGACCGAGCGTGTGAACCAGACCTTGGAGCAGATCCTTCGCAGCATCACGATGCACGACGCAGCCGCATGGGACAAGAAGCTGAGCATGGCAGAGTTCGCCTACAACAACACGCACCACTCCGCCACAGGCATGTCACCGTTCTTTGCACTTTACGGTCAGCACCCCAATGTCCCCACTCGTGTCGATCTCACACCCACAGTCCCTCGTGCGGACAACTTCCACCAGCATCTCACCTTCATTCATGATCACGTGAGGAAGCACCTTGAGCTCGCAAATGCACGCATGGCACGCACCACCAACCGCAGTCGTCGTGAGGTGTCGTTCGCAGTCGGCGACCGTGTTCTCTTGGATAGCCGCAACCTCCGACTGCCACAGGACAGCAAGCTTCGTCCACGTTTCATTGGTCCATTCGTCATTGAGCGCGCACTAGGTCCAGTCGCATACCGCCTTCGCCTTCCCGCACATTTCCGCATGCACCCGTCATTCCACGTGTCTCTCCTTCGCCCATACACCGATCCCAATGCCACCTTCTCGGGCCGTGATCGCACTCCACTGCCGGTAGCCGTTGACACCGACGAGCCCGACTACCAGATCCAGCGCATCCTCAGGCACCGTCGCCGTCTCCAGGGGGGTGTCACTTTCATCGACTTCTTGGTTCGTTGGCGTGGTTACGACGCAGCAGACGACAGCTGGGTTCCTTCGTCCTCGCTGTCTCCTGACAACGCTTGCCTCCAAGCGTACCTTCAGTCTGCAGGCGCCGCGGACGTCGCCTCCTTGGGCGGGGGGTAGTGTTAGAGGGGTGTTTACTGTTCATTCCGAACAGTACATTCCTAGTCACCATTATCCTTATCTTCTCAGATTCTCTAGTGCCACGTGGCACTCTACTTTTCTTGCACTCCAATTCTTGGTCCCACATTCCACTTTCCAACCTTGTTTCTTGCATGCTATATAAACCTTGCTTGTACTTGCCATTATCAATCAATTCTCATTCAACTCTTCTTCAATTACTCAGTAACTTCTTCGCCTATTTCGCCAATAGTTCTTTCGCCAAAGTCTTCCGCCGCGTTTCATCCTCGACTTAGTCGACCCCGCTAATTCTTTAGCGGACTTAGGCCGTCGGGCCTAACAGTCTTACTCGCAAAAGTGTAATTAATGTGGCTTGAGAACAGGCTGTTGGACTGTGCCATGCATTTCGTTCTTATCGGGTCATCAATTGTCAGACGTTGTCCCCAAAAGATCCCGCCACCAACCAACAGTCGTTCTGACCGTTGGTCACGGGCATCGCAACACAAGCATAACCTCCCCTCGTCGCCGTGTTACCTAGTTAGATTTCGTTAGCGACAGTCTAGTTCGTCGTTCAGGTCGTTGCCCGTTCGCGAGGCGCGAAGCTCTACTTGCGAAATTCGGGCTTGGTGATTTCTGAATCCGATGTGCTTCCCGCCCCGTGGGTGTGTTTGTCCCAAGACACGGACGGACAAGCGCGTCTCTTCCCAAATCTTCCTCGTTTGTCGGACATTTTTCCACTTCAACCCGCTGATCAGGCGGTGTTCTCTCATTGTCATCGATCGAAAGACAGAAAATATTTAGCGCCAACCATCCGCCAACAAAATCAACCACTTTTTCTGAGTTGTGCTGAGCGACTGTCACTGAAGTTGGGCCTCAGCTGCTCCCTCCTTTCCTGCTACATTGTATGTAGGAGACATCGATGGATTGCTAATGGATTGTCCGTCACATAATCTCGCAGGCAGCCCAATGACGCCACTTCGGAGCTGAATTGGGTTAATGCTACCTGCAGCGTGCTTTTCTTGAGAATAGAGGGACCGTCTTTTGAAGATACACGCGTACACGGTTCGTCATATGCTACTTCAGAGCAGCGTTGCCTTATCGCAATCGTCGTACAGAAACCCGAAATTGCCTAGTCCGACCTGCACACGTTACTAGAGATGCAGATTATATCGAGTTTTTTGGACGACGACCGATGACGATACCTGCGATGCCAAAACCCATGGCTGTTGGAAGCGTGCGGAGTTCCGTAATCGTTCTCTTCGCCACGTGCATCGCCGTTACGATCTGCTTCAAGATTATCGCGTCAGACTTTCGCGCGACCCTGTCGCCTATTCCGCTGGCAGTGTCGGCACTAGGCTTTAAAGGCCGCGAGGATAGGAGGAGAGCTGGCGGAGCAACAGAATTTGGGATAGGAAGTAAGGAAGGGGGAGGAGTTACTGAAGATGAAGTTGCAGCTGCCGATTCATCTCAGCCGTTGATCCCTGGGTCCAAGCTTTCCACTGTAGCGGAGGTTCGAAGTTTCGAGAGCAGATTTGAATGTTTAGCATCTAAAGGGCAGTGGGTTTATGACCCTAAGCCAAGGCACCTACCTTGGTGGGACGAAAAGAAAGGTGGGTACTCTTCGTGTGACTACTGGTGGATTACAGAGGCCCAGAAAAACATTTCCGGGCAGAATGGTTCTCCTGGGGCAGCTGTATTTCGGAACATCGCGTATGACACTGCGGATGGAGTGGCTCGGAGGAGGGGGGGGAAGGCAGTGTGGCAGGTTCGACCGAGCGTGAAGTACCGGTGGGTGTTGCCGAAGCAGAAAGAGGATGACAATTCAGGAGAGGAGGGAGGAGGTGGAGGAATGGAAGAGTGTGGAGGAAGTGAGTGGTGGGGGGAAGTGGACTGCGCGCGGTTGAAAGCAGGGCTTGTTCCAAACGGAGGAAAGATCATGATAGTGGGGGATTCGTTAAACTTACAAGTATTCGAGGCGTTTAGGAATCTTATGAATATGTGCCAGAAGAAGTGTGTCTTCGATATGTGGACGAAATGGTATGCTGAAAGGAGGCAGCAGAGGCAGCAGAGGCGGCAGAGGCGGCAGGAGGCGCAGCAGCGACAGCAGGCGGCGCAGCAACAGCAGTCACGGTGGCAACAGATGCAAGTGCCAGGAAACCAACAGCAGGGGGTGCAGCAGATGCAGCAGGGGACGCAGCAGCGGCAGCAGGGGGTGCAGCAGATGCAGCGGGGAGCGCAGCAGGGACAGCAGGGGGGGGAGCAGGGGCAGCAGGGGGGGGAGCAGGGGCAGCAGGGGGTGCAGCAAAAGCAGCCACGGCGGCAACAGCTGCAAGTGAGAGAAAACCAACAGCAGAAACAGGATGCGGAGCAGGAGGAATTTCAGGAGAGTAAACAGGAGGGCGAATTGGAGGGCAAACAGGAGGCGCAGCAGGAGCAGCAGCAGGAGAATGAGCAGCAGGAGCAGCAGCAGGCGTTGATCCATTACCAGCAGCAGCGGCAGCAACTAGAAGAAAGAATAAAGCAGGAATGCCCTGGAGTAGAGAAACTTGGACAGGAGACCTGTGCGGAGCATCGCAAGATTCGTGAAATCAGCTGGCAGTGCAAGGAAGTGCGATACGGGAACACTACAGTAGTGTACATTCGGAATGACCTCCTAAACACGTCAAACGACTACTTGATCCAAAAACCTCGCTGCATCAACACCCCTTGGATGAGGACGCTCAAGGAGGATCGCAGCGTTGCAGTGCTTCTACTGAATCGTGGAGCGCACTATGAAGAGAATGAAGTGTTCATCCCTGAGCTCAATGCTACACTCCATGAAGTTAGAGACGCGGCACCGGACACCCTCGTGGTCTACAGAAGCACGCCGGGGGGCCATCCCAACTGCACAAGGGCAATCACAGATCCTTACAAGGAGCCTCCGGACATGAGCTCCTATCCATTCCACTATGGCGATTTTGATGAACAAAACATGATTGCGAAGCAATTGGTGAAGGAAACTGGAGGGGTGTTTATGGATGTTGACAGGATGACAGAGATGAGACCCGACGGGCATATGGGCCCTCCAAAAGATTGTCTGCATTATTGTCTCCCTGGGCCTATAGACACATGGGTTAGCGTGTTTTACCACATGCTTACACAGTTGCTGTAAATTGCATTCATATTCTTTTGTTGCCATCCATGTAGAAACTCTATTGTACAAAGCATGCATGCAGAAAAGTCCAGAGAATAAATCTAAAGCATAAGCAATAGGTAGCAATTCAGGCCATTTAGTATCGGTCCAGGATCACCCTGGCGCATATCCCATCTGCTCATGACGAATTTGACAGGATGTCAGTTCACCTTCGGCATTTCCAAGGCGTGTTTCATCGCCGAATTCCCACTAGCCGAAGCCTCTGCTCCCTGGACTTGCGGTGCTGTCAGATTCACATTTCCTCACCCGCGCATTTCCTAAAGCAGCCTTCGACAGGCTCACATGACCCTGTGTCCCTTCATTCGAGGGAGCTATCTCGCTGCTCGTACGATCGACGTTCCTGCTCTCCGCTTTTCCGCTCGTCGTCATTCAACTGTTAGCGTCTCGCTCTTTCTGTCTAATCCCAGCGCTGCCGTTCTCAGTATTCAGTCTCCGAAAGCCGTCAGCAAGAAGCTCTCAGAGTCCGATTTTCTCGGCGTCCCGCCCGTCAAGCGAAATTCGCGAAGGCCGCGAACAGTAACAGCAGCAGCGGTGAAGGCGACGGCATCAGCGGCAACACCGGGTACACTTTCTGACCAAGCTAATGTTAGCAGTCGCGAATGGTCACGTATTGTCTGGCTCTACATGTGTATGAGCAGTCTGAAAACCGAACATCCGCAACAGCGATGTGTGTCACCCAGCAGGAGCTGTCTTGACGCTCCTGGTCCATGCTTCGTAGCTTTCGAGTCGAGTCGAGAGTGTTTTGGAACTCCTGTTTCATGCTGACGCTGACGTGTCTGACGCTGACCATTTTACAAGTTTCTTTCGACACGAGCTGCCGCTGACGTGTCCTCCTTGTTCCAACAATTTCCGCATAAGATTGCCTGCTTTTTCTGATACTGCTACATCGTATTTTGTATAGTAAGGTTTCCGTATTATTATCCTAATTTTCTATTCTGGGGTTGCTCTTACGGGGTTACTTTGTAACAGGCGCAGCAAATCTGCAGGGAGTGTCGGAAGAAGCTATGGAGAAGCAGGGAATTCTCGTCTACGGTGCCACAGGTATCGTGTGACGTGTGCCACGTGTGAATTGTGCCACAGATAACGTATGCTACAGATGTGACATATGCTGCAAATGTATGCTACATATGAGGTGCTCCCTACATGGAACGTGTGCTACAGGTGGAAGGTGTGCTTGAGATGTTTGTAAAAGTTATGAGGTGTGTCTGTTAAATGCGATGCGTGCGTGCTACAGCTGTAAAGCTTTCTATGGTGTTCCCTCTCCCCCTCACCAGGCACCACTGGCACGCACGCTCATAGCCCAGACCAGAAGATAAAAAAGGTCGGCCCTCTGGTCACTACCCAAATCTCTTCTGGTTCTCTCTCTTCCTTCCTGTGCGTTCTATGGTGTTCCCTCTCCCCCTCACCAGGCACCACTGGCACGCTCATAGCCCAAAAGATCAAGGAGGTGGGCCTTCCAGCCACTCTCGCTGGGAGAAATCTGCAGAAGCTACAGTAAGATGTTTGAGATTTTCGGTATTTGTACATTACCTACCTACCGGTGCTAACAGACAAGATGCTGCAGATTTCCTGCTTCTTCTCCTTCTGCTCTCTTCGGTTAAACATGTATTGGGACCGCTCAAAACTTGCCACCATGCTCTGTCCCTGCTTCTTCCTGCCTGCACCTCTCTTCTCACTCGTCCTGGCGCCCCAGGTCTATCTGCAAGGCTGTAGATCTGCCTGTGACGTGTGTGGGCTTGAATGTTGTTCCAGCCATCTCTACCCTCCCTTCTTCCCCCCCCCCCCTATTCTTCCTGCGCTACCTGACTTTCCAAGTCAATCGGCCAGGCTGTGGATCTGCCTGTAGCAGCGGTGCTGTGCACTCAAGCAATGTTTTAGCCATCCCTCCTCCCCCCTTTTTTTCCCTCTATTCTTCCTTATTTCTTGGTTCTCCAGGTCGATTCTTCCTGCTTTCCTGGCCCTCCAGGTCTATTCGCAAGGCTGTGGATCTTCCTGCAGCAGCAGTGGACGCGAGCGTTGTTTGAGTAGACTCCTGAATTCTTCCCCTCTTGCTCCCAAGGTCGATCGGCGGCTGTGGATCTGCCTGTAGCAGCGGTGGGACTTGAACGACGTTCAAACGTACTCCCAACCATTCCTCCCATTTCCATCCATCTCTTTTGAGTCGACTAAAAAATACTCCCCAACCATCCCCCCCATTTCCATCCATCTCTCTTGCTTCCCAGGTCGATTGGCAAGGCTGTTGATCTGCCTGTAGCAGCAGTGGACTTGAACGATACGCAGGGATTGGTGGAGCTGGTGGGGAAGCACAAGGTGGTGCTGCACGTGGCTGGGGTGAGTTGTGCCTTGGCTGGGGCGAGTGATGAATTCTGCCGGGATAGGTGCAGAGAGCTGCTTCTGAGTCGACTCAAGAGCTGCTTTGAAAAACTGATCCAGCAGCTGCAACAGAAGCCATTGCAGCTACTGGAGCAACACGAGCCATCGCAGCAGGAGCAGCAGGGAGGAGGTCAAAATGTTAAGAAGGAGCGAGCCAAAAAAACGCGGGGAAAAAAGTTGCAGCAAGCGGGTGAGCAACAGGAGGGTGAGCCGCAGGAGGATGAACAACAGAAGGGTGGGCAGCAGGAGGAGGGTGGGCAATTGCAGGGTGAGCAGAAGGAGCAGGGCGGAAATCAGGTCACGAAGCAGGAAGGGAAGAAGCAGGGTCTCAGTCCTCGCTGCTTCTTCCCTTTCTGCTTCGTGACCTGATTTTCTCCTTGCTCCTACTGCTCACCCTGCAGCTGCCCACCCTCCTTCTGCTGCCGACCCTTCTGTTGTTCACCCTCCTGCGGTTCACCCTCTTGTTGCTCACCCGCTTGCTGCAACTTCTTTCCCCGCGTTTTTTTTGCTCGCTGCTTCTTAACCTTTTGACCTCCTCCTTGCTGCTCCTGCTGCAACGGTTCGTGTTGCTCCAGCAGTTGCAATGGGTTCTGTTGCAGCTGTTGAATCAATTTTTCAAACTGCTGCTGTTGCAGCTTTTGCTCGTTGTCAGCAACATCTGCAATTATCCACAGCCCTTTACAATCATTTCGACAATCACTTTGAAGCCCTTGATTGAAGTTTGCATCAGCACCGGCACCCACTCCCTTGATCTATAGCACTGAGGATTGGCTTTTGAATCGACTCAAGTTCAAGAGTCTCTTCTGTGTTTCCCCGCGCATTGTGTCACAGCCCTTTACAATCACGTCCAAGCCCATGATTGAGGCGTGCATCAGCACTGGCACCCACTACCTCGATGTCACTGGGGAGTTCAAGGTGTGTCCTCATGACACTTAATTAAGATAATTTTATTGATTTGGTGTGGAGCTGTTTGACTGCTGGTACCTGGTAAGGTTCCAATAACGCAGAGAGTTAGTGTTTTTCTATTAAAGTGTTTACATGTCTGCGGACCTGTACTGGCTTGTATCTGCTGCACATGGATGGCATGGCATGGCATGGTATGGCAGGTGATGGAGCATGCGCGCACATATGATGCCACAGCCAAGGAAAAGGGCATTATGATTCTCCCTGCTGTCGGCTTTGACGTTATTCCGGGAGGTATGCTGGTCATGGTGCTGACAATCCAGGTGGTGTGATTCGACTCAGTTCAAGTTGTGAGGTCAGAAAGCTGCTCTCTGTTTCCAGTTTTCGAATGCCCTCCCCTCCTCTCCCTCGTCTCCTACATCCTGTCTTCACCCCCCGACCCAACAACATCAACGCCCAGACTGCCAGGCAGGGTACCTTAAGGCCAAGCTCCCTTGAGCAACATCAGTAAATCACGTCCACTCTCCCACCTTCTGTTCATCCCTTTCCTTCCCAATTGTTAAACCACCAGACTGCCGGGCAGGGTAGTGCAAGGGCAAGCTCCCTTCAGCAACGTGATTGAATCACGTCCATAATCCTACGACCTGTTTACCCCTCCCCTTTTCTCCTCTCCCTCCCCGATCCTCCCCAACTATTAACACCAACGCCCAGACTGCCTGGCAGGGTACCTAAAGGGCAAGCTGCCTTCAGCAACGGAGCTTCACCTTGCCACTTTCTTTTCCACCACTGCTCCTGTGAGTCTCTGTGTGTGTGTGTGTCCGTGTACACAGCAATTGCTCTGTGGGCGTGAGGACGTCTACCCCACCCAGCACCTGATGTTCTGGCGCCCGATCTGAAATCACTTTTGAGAATTCTCAAAAGTGAATTCAATATAGAGGATGTCTACCCCACCCAGCACCTGATGTTCTGGCGCCCAATATGAACATGCCATCTCACTCACTCACGGTATGCTGATATCGGCACCACAAACATTCTGCCCATGGTGTGGGGGAGACTACCCTTCTGTTCCTGCACCATCTGTCAGGGCGGGGACCCTCTGTCCACCCCACCCAACGCTCTGCCGTCCAACGGCACGCTGATATCGGGCGCGAAGCACATTCTGACGCTGGGAGGGCTGGACTTATTGCTGCTGTCTTTCTTTCTCCATTACCCTTCCGTCATTTGTGCCAGGGCGAGGACCCTCTGTCCAAACCACCCAACGCCCTGCCGTCCCACGGCATGCTGATATCGGGCGCCAAGCACATTCTGACACTGTCTATTTTAACCCCAATACTTGAATCCCAACAACCTCCCAACCAACAGGGCGAGGACCCTCTGTCCAAACCACCCAACGCCCTGCCGTCCCACGGCACGCTGATCTCGGGCGCCAAGCACATTCTGACACTGTCTTTTTTAACCCCAATACTTGAATCCCAACAACCTCCCAACCAACAGGGCGAGGACCCTCTGTCCAAACCACCCAACGCCCTGCCGTCCCACGGCACGCTGATCTCGGGCGCCAAGCACATTCTGACACTGTGTCTTTTTTAACCCCAATACTTGAATCCCAACAACCTCCCAACCAACAGGGCGAGGACCCTCTGTCCAAACCACCCAACGCCCTGCCGTCCCACGGCACGCTGATATCGGGCGCCAAGCACATTCTGACACTGTGTCTTTTTTAACCCCAATACTTGAATCCCAACAACCTCCCAACCAACAGGGCGAGGACCCTCTGTCCAAACCACCCAACGCCCTGCCGTCCCACGGCACGCTGATCTCGGGCGCCAAGCACATTCTGACACTCTTTTTTAACCCCAATACTTGAATCCCAACAACCTCCCAACCAACAGGGCGAGGACCCTCTGTCCAAACCACCCAACGCCCTGCCGTCCCACGGCACGCTGATCTCGGGAGCCAAGCACATTCTGACACTCTTTTTTAACCCCAATACTTGAATCCCAACAACCTCCCAACCAACAGGGCGAGGACCCTCTGTCCAAACCACCCAACGCCCTGCCGTCCCACGGCACACTGATCTCGGGCGCCAAGCACATTCTGCCCATGGGAGGGCTGGTGCGCAGGAATGGAGCTATTGTGAAGGAGGCTATTGCGAAATAGTGAGTGCAGCTGGGAATGGGAAGGATCGTATTGCAATCAAAGTAGTGAGTGAGCGTGTTCTTGTGTGAAGCACAACCTCTGTCCACAGGCTTGTTTTTGAGTGGTCGCTCCTTCCTCATCGCAAGGAGGAGCTGCCCCCACAGGGCAACACGTCTTTCCCAGCAGCTCATCTCCTTCCCACCTCCCATCTTTCTCAAAACACTTGTTCCTGTGCCACTTCTTCCCCTCGAACCCCCCGCTCGCTTCCACAGTGGGCGCTCCTTCCTCATTCGCAAGGAGCTGCCCCCTCGTTCCACCATGTCCTTCCCAGCAGCTCGTCTTTGCACCACCTCCCTCTCCACACCTCCCTTTCAATCCAGCAGCCTTGCTTCTGTGCCTCTCTTCCCCGTCACCCCCCTCCCAGTGGTCGCTCCTTACTCATTCGCAAGGAGCTTCCGCCTCTCTCCACCATGTCCTTCCCAGCAGCTGAGCTCTTCAGCACCTCCCTCTCCACAACCCTTCTCTTCCATCCACACCTATCCCCCCCTCCCCCCTTGCAGTGGTCGCTCCTTCCTCATTCGCAAGGAGCTTCCGCCTCTCTCCACCATGTCCTTCCCAGCAGCTGAGCTCTTCAGCACCTCCCTCTCCACCTCCATTCCCAACATCACTGTCTACGTGCCAGGTCAGCTACCCTCTCCTTTGTACTGCTCTTGTTCCTTCCTTATGTTTCTCTTTTCATTGCTCTCCACGTTCTTCTCTTGCTCAGCTGATTCATCCTTCCTCTCGTCACCATTTCCCTCTTCACCTTTTCTTCCTCCCCTCATGTCTCTCTTTCTCTTTCCTCACACTTCTCTCTTTCTCTTTCCTCACAATTCTCTCTTTTCATTTCTCTCTCCTCTCTCGCATTCTCCCTCTCTCTCCCTCACTTCCGCACCAACCAGGTAAATCTTCCTGGGTGACGTCACTGTTCATCCGCATCATTCAGTTCGCCGCCCGGGTCTGGCCCTTCACCGTCCTCCTCGAGAAAGCCATCCGAATGCTGCCCACCCCAGACACCACCCCGGTAAGTATTTGAGTTGCGAGTGCATCAGCAGCCTCTGCTGTTTCTGTGTCCTTTAGACACTGTCCGCAGCCCCCTGCGTCTGGCCCTTCACCGTCCTCCTCAAGAAAGCCATCCGAATGCTGCCCACCCCAGACACCACCCCGGTAGGCATCTTCCTAGTTAGTGCCTCCACAGTCTCTGATGCTCCAGCATCCGCTGGTGCTTCAGCATCCTATAGTGGTGCTTCAGCAGTATCCTTGTGAGGTTCTTTTTTCCCTGTAACAAGAGCGCGCATGCCACATGCCATGCCATGCCATGCCATGCCATGACATGCCATGTGAACTCTCCTTGTCGTCACTCCTTCTCCTTCAACCCCTCTGCTGTGCAAGGTCACAAGGTTAACACAGGCATAGCATGTGCGGGGGAGGTCGTTGATACGGCCAGCAACAAGAGGCACATGCGATGCCGTGCCATGCCATGCCATGCCATGCCATGCCATGCCATGCCATGCCATGCCATGCCATGCCATGCCATGATATGCCATGGAATGTTGACCCACCTTGTCCTCCCTCCCGCTCCTGCTGCTCTTGCTGCAGGGTCACAGGGTTAACACGGGTATGGCATGTGCAGGGGAGGTGGTAGACACGACCAGCAACAAGAGGCACAGGGCCTCTGTAATTGTAGGGGAAGGTGAGTTAAAACAATTGTGATTGTGCTTCGTGAGTCGTGACGTCTCAAAAGAGGATTGTAGGGGAATGTGAGCCAAACATTGGTGATTGTAGGGGAATGTGAGCCAAACATTGGTGATCGTAGGGGAATGTGAGCCAAACATTGTTGATTGTAGGGGAATGTGAGCCAAACATTGGTGATTGTAGGGGAATGTGAGCCAAACATTGGTGATTGTAGGGGAATGTGAGCCAAACATTGGTGATTGTAGGGGAATGTGAGCCAAACATTGGTGATTGTAGGGGAATGTGAGCCAAACATTGGTGATTGTAGGGGAATGTGAGCCAAACATTGGTGATTGCGCTTCCTGACGTCTCAAAAGTGTGACATTAGGGAAAGGTGAGTCAAAACAGTGGTCTTGGTGCTGCTCCAAGAGTCTTCCTGCTGCTCCAAGAGTCTCCCTGCCTTTATGTGGACCGCATTCAGGCAAGGACTTTTGTACTTGACACAAACTACTCTGTCAATTCGTAGCGGGCATGATGGCATGATGCAGGGTATCCCCCCAATCGCCCACTTTTCTCCATGTTTTGTCCGTCGTACCTGCATTGGGAAAGTGGCATTGAGTGAACTCAGAGACACCTCTGAAGCGTCCTCTGAGTCTTTTTTTCCATTTTCTCTTCTGCACCTTCCGTCTCCTGCCTCCTTTTCCCTTGGGCACATTCATGTTACCACCTCACAGCGAGCTGCAGTGTGGAAGTGGCACCGAGGGATGTAATAGACGCCTCTGAAAGTTTCTCTACCTCTCCTCCTTCCATATCCTGCCTCCTTGCCCTTGGGCACCTCACAGGGTACCACTTTACGGCGAGCTGCAGTGTGGAAGTGGCACGGAGGGTGTTGCAAGGGGAGTTTAAGCCTGGTTACCAGGTAACACCATTGGATATACATTTACCCTGTGATGTGACTTGAAGTGCATTGGGAATGGGATTTATCATTCCACATAGATTGCCTCTTTCGCACTCAACTCACTGTTTCCTGAGTCTCGTATCATCGATTCAATTGCCTCCTTCACCCACACAGACGCCTTATTCCACTTTTCTCGAAGCAATATTCAACTAGAACTCCCGATCTCCTCGTTTCCGTATCAGCTCAACGTGTGTCTCTCTTCCCCGCGGCCCATGCAGACACCAGCGACAGCATATGGAGCTAGCCTGGTGCAGGAGATTCCAGGAGAGAGGGTGGAGATAGTGGATTTGGACTAGGAAGGGCGGCTAAGGGTTTCCTTACACCAGTCGCTGTTCTGATGGAGCTCTGCAAGAGTGCCCTGGACTAGAGAGTCGACTCAGAAGACACCAGCCACAGCCGATGGGGCAAGCCTGGTGCAGGAGATTTCAGGGAAGGGGGTGAAGATAGTGGATTTGGACTAGGGTGTGTGTGTGTGGGGGGCGTCGGGGTGGGGGTTGGGGGGGGTTCCTCACACCAGTTGCTGTTCTGATGGGGCTACTCAAGATTGCCCTGGACTAGGGAGTCGACTCAGAAGACAGCGACTATCTTGAACTAGGGAGTCAGCCACAGCAACAATGCTCAAGTTTTACATCACATTAGTGCTCGACATTAACGTGGACAATTGACAGAAGTAGTGCTCGTCGCAGCAGAGATTGCTAACTGCATTTTTTTTCCATATCTTGAAAGAAAACATTCCGTCATCGCCCGGATATACCGTATGTGTTACGAGTGCAATTGAGTGAACGAACGAGAATTGCACTATCGAAGCAAGAGTACAATGAGCGAAGGCATGAGCGAAGGATATATAGCGAAACTACAGTGGCAACGGTAATGGACTGTGGTTGTCGCGCGACGGGCCTGGGACTGAGGTTGGGAAAAGTGTCGAAGCAGAGGCCCGGAGCGCGGGTTACCCGTCGAGCCGTGAGGTCGATGTGCGAAGGTGGCGGGCGGATTGTCGATGCGAGGGTTGCGAGTGGTAACGGTGCTGACTGTTGTGCTACAGTGATGTACGCGTTGAGCAGGGATGCGAAGTAAGGAAAAGGGATTTTCCTTACACTACCCCCCCCCCCCCCCCCCCAAAGGAGGTCCTCCTTATGAAAGTGCGTGTACATCCCTGAAATTTCGGCTGCGCTGATACTCGGTGAGGACGGGGTGGTTTTCGATTCTGTCCAGGGGAACCCAATTGTCCTCGGTGGGTGTACGGTCCTTCCAGCGGAGTGAGAACTCGATCCTTCGGGCTCCTCGAGGGTCGCGAACTCTTTGACTCAGGATTTTCTCGGGGGTGATGAATGGTTCAGTTGGTGGTCTTGTCATGCTGGTTGGGCGATTGCGTGGCAGTTGGCTCGTGGACGGGACGTAAGGGCGAAGCAGGCTGTCCTGTCACAGTTACAGTTACAGCCGGCCTCCCCACTGCCTGCTCCTTCTCCCTACACTGGTCCTACTGGAGGTCTTGCTAAGCGTCGTGAGCCTGCGTCTCGCCTTGCGTCGCCTGTCCGTCCTGCTCGCACTAGTGGTCGTGGTTCGCGTCAGCGTCCTCCTCCTGTCCCTGGCACGCACCGGATGTCTCTACGTCCGTCCACTGCTCCTCTGCGTGCCCCTTTGCCTTCTCCTCTTGAGTCCTCTCTTCCTGCTCTTGCCGACCCGGAGTCGGACTCTCTTCGTGCTGCCAGTCCTACTGTCACGTGTCTCCTTGCTACTGTCGTCACTGACTCTTCCTTTGAGTCCACTTCTGCGTCTACCCTAGTTGCTGAGCTCGTTGACTTTGCTGGTCGCTGTCGTCTAGACTACGCTGCTAGTCTTGTCGCTGAGTCTGAGTCTGTCTGTCCTCCGTCCGTCGGGGGTGAGTGTGCCCTTGGCACGGACGTCCTTGAGGACAGGCAGGAGGAGTTCCAGTGTCTGGCCGCTGCTTCACCTCATCTCGTGTCCGTACTGCTTACCCCTGAGGGAGACCCGGATGCACTTGACATCCCGACTCCGCGCTCTTACGCGGAGGCCGTAGAGGGTCCCTACTCCTCTCAGTGGCAGGCAGCTATGGATGAAGAGATGGCTTCCTGGAAGTCCATAGGCACATACGTTGACGCGGTTCCCCCACCTGGGGCGAACATCGTCAGTGGCATGTGGATTTTCAGGGTGAAGTGGCCGCCGGGTTCTCCGCCTGTCTTCAAGGCGCGTTACGTGGCTCGTGGCTTCAATCAGCGGCAGGGAGTTGACTACTTTCAGACCTTCTCTCCCACCCCGAAGATGACCACTCTTCGGGTACTGCTGCACATAGCTGCTCACCGCGACTACGAGCTGCACTCTCTTGACTTCAGCACTGCTTTCTTGCAGGGCAGCCTGCACGAGGAGATCTGGCTGCGTCGCCCACCTGGCTTCTCTGGGTCTTTTCCTCCTGGCACCCAGTGGAGCCTCCGGCGGCCAGTCTACGGTCTCCGCCAGGCGCCCCGTGAGTGGCACGACACACTGAGGACTACACTTGCGGCTCTTGGGTTTGCTCCTTCTACTGCCGACCCGTCGCTGTTTCTGCGCACCGACACCTCTTTGCCGCCGTTCTACATCCTCGTGTACGTCGACGACTTGGTCTTTGCCACAGCTGACATTGCTGGACTCGCCCACGTGAAGTCCGAGCTGCAGAAGAGACACACATGCACAGACCTGGGTGAACTGCGCAGCTACCTTGGCTTGCAGATCACCCGGGACAGAGCACGCCGCACCATTACCCTGACTCAGTCACACATGGTGCAGCAGGTCCTTCAGCGCTTCGGCTTCACGTACTCCTCGCCTCAGGCCACTCCTCTGCCTACTCGCCACTCGCTCTCAGCTCTGCCTTCGGATGAGTCCGTAGAGTCGAGTGGCCCGTACCCAGAGCTTGTTGGCTGCCTCATGTACCTGATGACGTGCACACGACCTGACCTTGCATACCCTCTTAGCATTCTCGCACGCTATGTTGCTCCTGGGAGACACAGACCGGAGCACATGGCTGCAGCGAAGAGGGTGTTGCGCTACTTGTGCAGTACGTCGGGCATGGGGCTTGTGCTTGGAGGGCGGAGTCCAGTGGTCCTCACTGGGCACGCAGACGCTTCTTGGGCAGACGACCAGGCTACGCAGCGGTCGTCACAAGGTTACACCTTCAGCCTTGGTTCCGGCTCTGTTTCGTGGCGAGCTACCCGCTCGTCTTCTGTTCTTGGCTCCAGTTGTGAGGCTGAGATCTACGCCGGGGCCATGGCTGCTCAGGAGCTTCGCTGGCTCACCTACCTGCTGACTGACCTTGGAGAGCCGCCTCGTTCTCCTCCAGTGCTGTACGTAGACAACAAGGCCATGCTGGCCTTGTGTCGAGAGCAGAGACTGGAGCACAGAACGAAGCACAT